AATTACCCTGTGGAAACAAGAATTTTTCATTTTAGAGCATTTTGAATCGTTAGGAGATTAAGTCAAATATCGGCAATTTCAAAGGGCCATTACTATGAAAAGCAAAATCAGAAAGAATTTATTTGATATGGTATTACTGTGAAAAAGACTGCGGTTGGAAAGTGTTGATACAAAGTTCAAATAGTATTTGGAAATACGACTTTTGCTTTTAAGAGCATTATGAATTCATTGAAAGAGTAGTTCAAAAATGAAGATTCACAGGGCTTTTACTTTGAAATCCAAAATAAGATGGCCTTGATAGTGACAGGGCACAATTAGGGTACAAGGCTGTGTCATGTAAATGTAACATTAGAGTTTCTAAAAAAAAAAAAAAAAAGCCTAAATTATATGTTATTATGTTCTTAACATATCTGTTAATTCACTCGAAGTTGGCTTTTATTTTGAAATCCGGTTTCCACATCCATTCCCGTAATACTTTGAATACACAGGGAACGTAAAATCAACTGGAGGCTGGCTTGACTGCAAGTCTCGAATTGGAGGCTGGCTTGACACAAGTGAGGGTTTGATTCGCTCCAGTCTTGGCTGTTGTCTCTGAGGCGTTTACAAACTGGGGTTAATTAAGATCCAAAGTCTTTCATCTTTTCAGAGTGAAACAAAAGTTGAACTTTTAATCAAAAACTTCATTAACAACTAAAACTGCGCCATCACTGATGAAGGAGCTCTTTGAAGTTACAGGTAACACACCCATTACAGAAGCTGCTGTCAGTCATCGTCCACTTCAAACCATCAAAGGGTCAGGGGTCAAATCAAAGTCCAGATTTCTTCTCATGTCTGAATTCAGGAGCTGATTAACATGTTAAAGAGCAGAAGGTGTTTAAAGGTGGACGCTGGAGCTCTCGGGTCACAGAGAGAAACCATGGACCGAGGCCGAGTGTCGGACTTCAGCATCGAGCGCATCCTTTCCCCGCAGCTCGGCCCGAGGCCGCCGCTGCAGGACTTTCCACCGAACGGGTATCACCGGGGGGTCATCGGCAATGTCAGAGCTCCCTCGCCGGTCCAGGTCCCGTTACAGGCGATGGGCTGCCAGCAGTGCAGAGAGATGAGCTTCGGAGAGGAACGATTCCCGCTGTACAGACCCGCTGTCCATCAGCAGCACTTCTACTCAAACCCCGGAGTTTACGCGCACTTCAGCCAAAACCGTGCCGGTAAGCAGAGACTCTCACAGTTCAAGTTTTATTTCTTCACCAAAACTTTGAGACTCTTTTTTTTTAAATGGGAAACTTTTATTATTTTTCGGATTTAGTCACAGTCAGGATGTGTTTGCTGTGATATTCATGCTTCTGTTTTGTCTGATTCTTTCTTCGCTAAAAGCATTTCTGGTCCTTTCCTCCCCAGATATGCAGCCTCTGGCGGTTTACAGCGGATACCCGCAGCCCTCGGCGGTGCCCCCGCAGTCGCTTCACAAGTTCCGGGTGAGGACGGTGTTCACTGACAGTCAGATCAAGCAGCTCGAGGCGCTGTTCGAGATCACGGAGTACCCCTCAGTGGAGACTCGTGCCGAGCTGGCGAGGCGCACCGGGCTGAGCGAGGAGACCGTCAGGGTGAGTCCGACATGTTGATTTGGGGTGTGAGGCTGTCAGGCCGTGAGGAACGAACAAGTGACCGTCCGTGCGTAAAATCCCTCCAAGTTACACAAAAGGCTCCCAAGTTCCATTTTACTTTGACTCAAGTAATTAAAAATAATAAGGGTATTTTATTACATGCATACATTAAACACAAAGGCCTTTTTTTAATCTTTGCGCACAGAGCAGCCAGGGAATGAACAACATACGAATTCACTTTTTAGAAAAACATCATTAAACCAGAGTTTATGTTATTATTTAACAATTTTAAGATTCTGCATTTTGAAACGGAAAAAACAATAAAAATGTCTCATGCGCAGGCGCTGTAAATGGTGCATGTAATGACAGCAGACTCACTGATGGGGAAACTGAAATGTTCCTGAAATTTGACTTAATTGTTTTGACTAAATTTGACTCGTGCTGTAGCCGAAGTTTCATGTTTTGTAGAACTGACTCATTAAATAAGAGGAGAAAAAATAGTTGCCTGGAAAAGTTCGAAGACTTTTAAATGTTTATTATCAGTGAAGATGGACGGTGCTACGGTGATCCAGTACCTTTGAATCCCTTTAACGTTCCCAGTACTGATACTACACTGGTTACTAGTTTTCAGTATTGGGCCTTTTGAAACGTTAGGTACCTTCATGCCTTCCAACATACTGTAGTGTTTGAGTACTTTAGACCTTTACCCGGTATTTCTAATAGATGAAGACCTGTGAAGGATTAGTACTTCACTAAGATTGCAGTTTGTAGTTCAAGATTACAGTTTTGGTACTGAACTGTTATATTTTCATAAGCTGCACTGTCCTCTCAGACCGAAATGCGCACGCATATTAGAATCACGAGACTAACTCTGTGTCTCCTTCGTTTCCAGGTGTGGTTTAAGAACCGCAGAGCTCGGAGGAAGCGTCAGTGAAGCTCGCTCTTCTTCTCCGAGAACATCTTCACCTCCCAGACTGCCCGCCTGCTGTTCACCCTCAAACCTGCATTCTTCTTAATGGCCAGTAGGAACACGACCCTTATTTATGACACTGCCCCCTGGTGGCAGTACACGAAAAGACTTTACGCTGCACATTTCTGAGCCTTGTCTCAATACCACGATGAACCTCAGGAAGAATGAATGATGAAATGTTTCGTTCAGACTGTTTGACCTAAAATTTAATTTATAAAATTCTTCTTTTTCTTTGAGCATTCAAAAATTAAAAAAAAAACGCACCTTTGAAGCAGAGTTTGTAACTTGGAGAGGTTTATGAAAATAAATGGAATTATGATTAAAATCCATAATATCCAGTTCTGTGTGTTTGTGCCTTTATTCACAGAATCAATAACATGATTTGTAATGTTCTTTGTATTGATGCACATTCAGGAACACATGACAGGTAGTGTTACTGCAGGGCTGGACTGGGACAAAAAAATCAGCCCGGGCATTTTGACTAGTGACCGGCCCACCGTGGTATTATAGGAAAAGCCATAAAGCCTTTGTAATAAACTTAAACCTACACCGTCCTCACTATTCTGCTATTCTAGACAGTACTTAAAAATATAAAACAACCTAATTTATGATTACATATTCCTCACTAATAGGGTTGCCAACTCCCAGCAAAAAAAGAAAAGAAAAATAGGGAACCCTCTGCCTCAAGATGCTTAACTGACAAAAACGTTTTTAATTTAATGCACGTATAAAACAAATGCACAGAAATCTGTTATTTTTCTCCAGTAATTAAATAGATTCAACATCTTTCTTCAACAGAATTGCAGACTGCACAGGTGGTACCTTCCCAAAGGAAAGGATACTATAACTTACTAGGATATATACTAGGCTTAATATTTACTGAATACAATAATGGATTTCTATAAATTTTAATCAGATGAAAACTTTGGTTGTAAGATTCAGATAATTATTTATTCAAAGTGAGACATTTTAAATGAGAATAAGAAAGAAAAGTATTTCTTTGTGCCCCCCTCTCCCTGTTAATGCCCTACATGCCCCCCTGGCCAAACTTTGCTAGATCTGCCCCTGCACAGTTACCAGCTGTCAGCTACTTAGAAAAGGATCCTGGTGTTATTTGTCTCTCAGAAACAGTTCATAACTTCAACTCATCCATGTCACCTAAAAGGTAAACCTGTTTCTCCATCACCTGTTCAGCTCTGATGATTCAGTAAGGACATCTCCTGGTTTCATCTTCATGTTTCCCTCTCACCACATATCCAAACCATCATGACCAGCAGCTTTACAGCTGTGGCTCCAGCAAACATCAGCTGATACTAGAAATTAATATTAAATAAATTCTAACAACAGCTGATCAAGCTTAAATGTGCTGCTGTTGTTTAGCGCGACATCCGCTGGTTTCCTCTTTCTGGCGCAGAGAGAAAAGCTGATCAGCTGATCACTGATCAGTTTCATGATTGAATTAGCAACTTTCTAGCTGAAGAGGAACGGGGACAAATCGCTTTCCTCTTCACCTCAACTTTAAAGTTCGACCTCCTCGGCTGTAATTGGTCCAGCCCAGAGTCGATCATGACCAACTGGCCAATCCACCACCTTTCATTTATCCCGTTACAAAAAGAAAAGAAATAAAACCCCATCGGCCCATAAAAACGAAAAATCCCGGTATGACTGGGGTAGTAGCGACGAAGACTGTGACGAGAGGAAAGTGTGTTCTGAAAACTGGCCACTGGGTGTCACTGTTAATCATTTTTAATTGTGGTCTTCATATTTCTGGAGTAAAACAAGCTGTTACGTGACGTCGTTTTGTTGGAGACTAAGTAACACAAGGCTGGCCAAGCAACCATAGCACAAGAGGCAGGGTACACACAGGACAGTCTGTGACAGAGAAATGTTGCTGCAGTAAATGTAGTAAACTCTTTTTATTAAACCTTTGCTTAAATTGTAAGAAATGTGTAAAATTACAGAAATCTATCATTTCTTTGGTGTATTATAAATGGCTGTGGGTGAGGTCTTTGTCAGAGAACAAACAAACCACATTTAAAATCCAAACTCATTTTCCTCCTTCACATTTTCCAAAGGGCCTCATGTTTGATACCCCAGGTCTACAGACACCTGTGTGAGCCACGGAGGAGCTCACGGGGAGAAAGAAGCACAAAGAATCCCCATCAAACTAAAATCAACATGTAATTATGCTGCAAGTATGAATTTATTTATACTTATTGTCTGTCTAAAATTTAAAAATATGCATATAAATCATTTTCACTCTGCAGATTTTGTGGGTGTGCTCTGATAACTGGCTACAAGGTGTCAGTGTGAATCCTTTTATAGTCTGATGAGTCAAATAAAAAAAGATAATAAATGTATCAGTTTTATTAGTTACTGTTTCACCTGATTTTATCTGAACGCAGATAAAAAGTCCAGCAGACAGAAGGTTTAGAAAAACATCAAATCTTTATTATATTCATAGTTGTTATTATTAGAAGCATTTTCATGCTGATGAGAAGATACACTGAAAACCCCGAATGAGAAAATACTGAGAGAGCATGCAGTGAGGATCTGTTAGGAAGAAGACGTCGATGCTCCTTCTCTCCTGTTTCTGCTTCCGCGCCCGTCGGCTTTAAACACACTTTGAAAACAGGAGTGACGCACACACATGGACTAAAGTAACACACACGCACACTTTACAAAACCAGAGAACAAAAAGTACACTTAGTGAAGTTATCAAAATATAGGCTATATACTGTATAATCTTCAGACTCCGAATGTTGAAACGAGCAGTGCCGAGTTCGTTTCTGTGATTTCGACGTTACATCGTCAGACAGCCGTCACTTCTTTAAAGGACACCGACTCTCTCAGTTAACTACAAATCACAGTTTCCATTCCTGCTGATCCAAACGTGACTGATTTCCTTCCTTTAAGCAGCCGCTGGCGTCAGTGCAGCTCTGAAAATCTGCTTGCAGAGAAGTTGTGTTGCAAACAAGAGCTGAGCCGCTAAAACTGTCCAACGGCTCCCGGCTTCACATCAGGAGGAAAGAAATCACAGAGGCGACTGACAATAAACTCCTGACTCAGCTTCGTCTTGAGTTGTGGAAGATGAGAGACGATCGCCGTGTTTGTGCTCATACGACATAATAACAACGCTTCTCCAGAACCAACCGTGATCACGGATGCACTGATCGGATATTTGGGTTGTCTGTCAGTCTGACGCCGAACACTTCAACAAGTCGTTCAGCTGTATGTAGCTTACACCACCCATCAGCAAGGGCCTGTCAGCTGTGGTGTAGCATGGAGGGAGCCAACAGGAAAGCAACTCTGAGGCTTTTCACACCTCCGATGCAAACAGCTTTTATTTGTGGATGATACAAACGTGCATGTGAGGAGCACTCAGACCGAGAGGACCAAAGGAAACTAAAGTAACAGACGCGACGCACAAATCAGTTCAACCAATGATATTTTTGTCTTCCAGACACTTGAAATACAAACAGATTTCCTGAATATCTGTTGTATTTGTGAGTCTTTAATAAGATAATATTGTCATAATCTTGTTTTTGTTTGGTTTCATCAGGGAAGCTGCCCTCTGGTGGACCAACGTCAACACTCATAACGAGGCTAACGGGAGTTTCTCTTCTTTGCTTTTAAATTTTCACTTTCAGGCTCCAGCTTCCAGTAAAGATCAGTAAAGATCAGTAAAGATCACTGCTTCCTCATTCCAGACTGTTCCTGGGTCAGTCCTCGATATCAGCAGACACCCAAAGCCAGGCTACCACACTGGAGCTGAAAAAGTTTGATCGGTGCATCCCTGATCACGATTCTCAGGATACATGTATTTAACGTCATCTCATCTTGTTGAAGTGTGGAGAAACGAAGCCAACGTGGGCGATGAAGGCATCAAACAGGATTTTCATTTGAAACCAAAAAGTGGAAACATTTCTAGAACATTTTTAATTTACAGTCACATTTTGGTTTCGATTAGGAGAAGATGATGGCTACGACATGACGGAGTTTCAGTGGCTGAATCTCGACAAGGATGCAAAATTTCAAACATTCCTGCTGCCTCAAAGTAAGGAAACCAATCTTAAAGTAAAAGCATGTTTGAAATCCAATCAACAAAAACGACAAAGTGAGAGTTTGTAGTTAAAGAGCTAAATCAGGCAAAAGGAGCGGCAACGGCCTTGGATACAGAAACCAAAGTGAAAATATGTGGCGATAAAAACGTCTGTAACGCTTCCTTTAGCGTGAGATTAATAACTGGTGACGCTCCACATCTACACAGCACGCTACGTTCAAACCGACATATCGACTGTACTGTTACTGTACGTTTACTGTACAAAGACAAACCTCCACCATCACTGCGGTCCACTAACGCTCGCCCGACTGGGTGGAGCTTCAGCATTGAACGCCGTGCTACGACAGCTGACTTGTGGCGATGAATTTCCAGAGTGAAACTATAAACAGATGCAAATACGACACGTGGACTGACTCCGGTTCGTCTGGCTTGTTTGGGCTGTGGCTGTGATATTTATTTGTGAAGGTAAAGCAGTAAGTCATCTGCACATCGCTCGAACGTCTAGTCCCATTTTTCAAAAAGCTGCTTCTCAGGACACTTTTGGACGGTTCCAACAACTCGATGGATGCAGGACTGACTTTTTGTGTTCATCTCATCCATGATGATTTCAGGACATCCTTAAAGCAGCTTAAATTTACTACAGTCCTACCAGGACACCAGTTTGTGTCCGTGGGGAACGCGACATGACTCAACCTACCGCTCGTCTGGTTAAGTCATTCAGAGGCGAGGCTCAGGTCAAGTTCAAGCAGGAATGAAAAGTTTGTGACCACATGGACTAAATCCTGCAGCTGACTGGGTTAAACTGAGCGCCCGGTGAGTGGAAAAGCAAAAGCACTGCAGTTCTCGTTAGTATAACGTTGAAGCTGATTCCACGAGCACAAACAGGACATTATCCACAGCAGTGTGCACGAGCAACCACAAATGTCTCCTTTGGCCGAGGCTGCAGAGCACACGGAGAGAAAAACCGGCAAGCCCCGCCTCAAAGGCTCTTAATGACCTCATCATTCTCTAAAATGACCTTCAACCAGTGTTTGCAGGAAGGTGGTTGGTCATATTTCATAATTCTCATAGTTTAAAGTTTTACATCTCTGGAAACAAGTTACCAAATCTGCCCGGTCTTGCTCATGAGATCTGAATGCTCCGTCCAAGAATCAGATAACAGAATAATGAAGCAGCACAAACTGAGGATCTGACCTCACCAAATACGCTCCACGGTCTTCCTGGTGGCATCTGGGTCACTTTCCACTTGACTTGGATCAAAACTGAGGATGGATTTCATCCCTTCGCTTGCCCGGTTATTCTCTGTGCTCGCCCCAGCAGCCTCGGCCATCCGAGCGCGAGTGTGTTCATCTCTCTGTATCGAGTGCTCACAGAGTGTAACGAGACATTAACACAGGAAACGTTTCCACACAGAGATAGGTACACTGTTTACATATTGCTGTTTCTCAGTTATGCAGAGATTTACCATTAAGCACACATTTAGGTTAGCTTGTGTTTTTCTTTTCGCGGATGCTCACATTCACAAAAGATACCAAAGTCTTATTTAAATGGAGAGAGAGAGGAGCGAGAGAGGAGGGTCAGAGGAAGATCAAAGATTTGGACTCGGGAGCTCGTTTGGGGGTTAAACTTTTAAGTAAAGGTCATTAAAAACCTCGAAATGGAGGCGCTGATGAAGGGACGCTTAATATTACAAAGACATATTCTACCCTGAATGGACTGGACATCACATTTAGCTGGAACTGAAGCTCGTGTTCAGAGGCAACATAAAGACATGACAGTCTCATGAAATGGGGCCGGAAACGTCAACGGTTTGGGTCAGTTAGCAGTTTATGGTTAACAGATTACAACTGGAGCCTGTTATTAGTGTCCGAGTATTGGCAGTACGCTGATTAGCAGTGACTATAATCAAAGGTACTTTTTGTAAAGAATTCTTGGACAAAAGCAGATTCAATCCTTCAAAAAATAAACCAGCTTGCGCCTTTATGTCAAAGACATTTATGTTGCAGATGCAAATTGATGTAATACCTCTGTCGACCACCAGGTGGACCTAAACTGCTCACGAGAAATTCTAAAATTAGCTCAACATTCGTACAAATGTTGCTAATCAGACTTATTTTATTCATTGGAGCACAAAAATCGTTCTGTGCATGTAGACGACTGTAGTGCTGGTGGAAAACTACACTGGAGCTCAGATGAAGCGCTGCCACCTTGTGGTGAAAATGTGCGTTGCATTTCCTGCCAGACGTTTGCTAAAAGTACCTTTAAAGATTAACAGCTGACAAACAGCAGGATAAACATCAAAGCTGTTCTTTGTGGTCAGGAAAAATGGAAAAATGTAAATTAAAGATAAAGCTTCTTCTTGTTATTAAATGTTAGCATCCACACTCCTCCACATACAGCGAGTCAACCCGGAGGCCAAGAACCACTTACTTATCTCACACATCAGCAGTGGAAATAAACTCTCCTACAGACAATTATTGGCTGCGTTCAAGTAAAAACCCTGTTTTCACTTCTGAGTTTCAAACAGTTTGGAGTCGGGATGTTTTCTGGGATTTTCCCTCCATGCACTCGGGATTTTTACATCTTAACTCAAGCGGAGACAGCAGAGGTTCTTGGTCTCAGACGAGCAGACAAACTTATTTTGCACAAACTGTTTGAGCTCTCGTGCGCTGCTCTTGTTCATTTGTGCAGAAAGTGTCTGAGAATTTAACAAACACATCTGCCAAACCACAAAGCACAGGCTGAATATCTGCATTATTGTCCACGTTTGAGCTAGCTTGTGCCGAGCTTAGCATTAATGACAAAATCTGTTTAAGACCCAAAGCTAGTAGCAGCAAAAACAAAAGCACGTAGCAGCACAAACGAACGTTTTGTGGTTGTTGTTAGGCCCCGAATGACAGCACAGCACGGACAAATACCGAGCTGGGACGATGAGGTGAGAAGACGTGAAAGGTTGGGTTTTTTGGAGGAATCAGATTCTCGGTTTCTTCAAAGGAATGCGGAACGTTTTGATCAGATACAAGGCACTATAGATTTTGCTATAGAACGGCTAAATTAGGAGGTTCTGGGCTGAGATTAAGAGAGGAGGGGGACGGGGTCACCACGAGAAGTTTGACTGACGACGGCGAAAGTCGGTGAAAGCAGGAGTAGAAGATGGAGAGCAAGTACAGCGGAGAGACTGATCTGGTGGTGGAGTAGAAGAGAGAAGAGGAAGGGCGTAGTTAGGACTGCATCTCAGCGCGCAGCATCCACGGAAACCAACAACAGAAGAGCAGCCTGCAGGAGACGAGGAGGAGGAGGAAGAGCAGGGTTCAGTAAGTCTAATCCTGCCTGCTTTGCTGGACTTATTTGGACTTTTGATAAAAAGGTGAAAACAGTTTTATTTTGCTTTTCTTTTAAAAGCTCAAATTGAACCGTTTCCAAAATTTCCTCTTGTCAAAAAGTCCAAGAAAGCCGAACAGCAAAGAGCGCAGGACTGTAATGTGACGGAGCAGGGCTGACCTGGATATGGAGCTCTCAGACGTGAGGTCTTTAGGAGAACGCATCGTGTTGAAGTTACGCTTCGGCTGTGACACTGCAGCGCACAAGCACACAACGTTTGTTAGAACAAGGAGACAAATACGGTTTTCAGGGGTAAAGAATGATAATAAAACACTATGGTCGTCACTTACTGGTGATCTGGTGGACCTTCTTCACCGTGGAGCTGTCGTTCTGTGAGCCGTCCTTAGGGCCTCCGATTCTGACAACAACAGTGTTTATTGGCGACTTTTAAGGCGTCGCTCAGGAATCAAAGATTTTAAAAAGCCTTAATGTCACATCGTCCTGGTTACTTTGAAGCTTCCCGCCAAGCTTCCACAGCTTTTAATGCTCTGCTGTATTTTCAGTTTTTTTCATATATTTAATCTTTTTCATTTCCAACATTGGAAGAATTTCTGAGCTAATTAATCCTGAAGCTGATTATCTCCCCATTCTCATTTATTACACACACTAAAACATCACGGTACCTTCGACATATCCTCACCTCTGGACACGGGAGGGCGGAGCAAACACTCCATATTTGGGCAGGCAGCTGAAGTAGCGGACCCCAAACACCGAGCCGTCGTGTTTCCCTGTGGGCTGGTCCAGCTCGATACCGAACCAGTAACCTGCAGGGACACAGATCCGGTCACAGCTGCTCTGTCTGATAAGCATTTCTGCAGGATTAGTGCAAAGTTTCTCCGGACTGGAGAAGGACAGACAACACAGTCCTACAAGTATCCACATGTGCACAGTTCAGAGAACCGACTGAGGATCAGCAAACGCACCTGGAGCAAAGTCTGTCTTGCCAAAGTAACGAACGATGCCGTGCTTCTGTCCGGCTACCAGAACCTGATCTCCGACCTCCACATTCATTCCCTCTGGATCCAGACTGGCTACTGAAGCCTTCTTCTTCTGGGCTGAGAATGCAGAACAAAACTGATGAGAAGCACAGATAAACCTAATCGAATGAAGCTATTAGCAAAGACTGTAGCTCGGTTACCTTTCTCTCGCTCTTTCTCCTTCTTCTCTTTCTCCTTCTTGGTCTTTCCTGCGAGGCGGGAGGCCAGATCCATGCGGGGTGTTCTTGGGGTGGAGGTGACTGATGAAGGCGTCTGGTCCACAGATTTGGAAATCTTTGAAACTGGAGCGAAAATCCCTGCAGGGCAGAAGTAGATCAACGCAGTGAGAAACAGCAACAACTCCTGTTTCCATGCTGGAAAGATGACGAGCGTGCTCCTCCACCAAAAGCCTCCACAAGAACAGTCGGTCAGTGAGTTTGTTTACGATGAAATCAAAGAGCTCACACCAGGACTTGCAGCAGGGACAGCCGACTGAACATGAACAAGGAGATGACTTTAAACGGTGAAATGAGGGAAGGACTCTTCGTGTTTGCCTCCTGTGTTTTTTAGTGATGCTTTTGATGAACAGAGATATGACGTCTTTAGATGTCACGTTCTCTGATGTATTCACTGATTCGCTGGATGTTCTAAAGCTTGGAGGTCTTGAAGAGCCACAGTCACTTCCTGCAGATTCAGGAAGTATTACTAAACTTGAGTTAGGTTTGTCTGATTCCCCTTTGGAGGTTTTCTGGGAACATCCAATGGGGAGCAGATCAGAACTCACTTGTGAGAACCCGGAGCAACTGGAAAAATCCTGGGAAAAGTCGCCTAGAATACGCTACTTAACACGGTGACTTGATTTCAGCTAACGGGAACAAAATGAAAGGAGTCTTTGTCTCGCCTGTAGAAACCACAAATCTCTCACCTAACTTCGGAGGGCAGATGAAGTAGCGGACGCCGCCCACGCTGCCATCGTTCTTGCCCTCTGGCTCGTCTAGCTCCACGCCGACCCACTGCCCGCTGGCGAACTCTGTAGTACCACAAAACCTCAGAGTGCCAGCCTGAGAGACACAGAAACAAAAAGAGAGGGCGGAGTCAGAGGTGACCTCTCGCATTCTCGGAGCATGACTGCAAAAGAGATTTTTTCTGGTTAGGTTGCATGGGGGCAGATAGTCTGGGTGTCTGCTGCTGTGTTTTATGAAAGGGACGAACGTGACATCAACGCTACAGATGGAGTGACGGTGATTTCATAGGAAGACAACATGTTGGCAGCGTGGTGAGTCACTTCAGTTAGTCTACAATCCAGCCACTCCAACCAACCTGTCTGCGTTTTGCAGCCGGGCTGTCGTCTCTGCTCTGGTCTCTGTGGGGCTGCACAGTGAAAACACACTGTTCAGAGCTCAAGAAGCACAGTGTGAAGGACAAACTGCCACCACACACACACACACACACTGCTGTTTACATGTTGTTAAAAAGAAACTGCCGATCAGATTAACCTCTTAACATCCACTGGCAACCCCCCCCAAAGGCTACAGGGTCCTATTTTAAACGCCCAAATGTAAAAGCTGTTAATAAAAAACTGCAATTCAAACAAGACTTTATTTGAAATGTAACATCTTCTAGTTTCTAAAAATCTGCCGACCAAAAATAACGACTTGATGCTCGATCATCCAGGTAAGTAAATCTGTTGAATATGTTCGTCGGGATTTAGACTTTTCAGTGGGAGAAACATCAACTCATCCAAGTAAAGCCATTGTTCCTTCAGTGCTGCAGGTTTCAGTCACTGTGCAAATGTCCTGTTTATAAGGTTGAAACCTGCAGTCAGCTGAGACTGAAGACGTCACCTGATGATGATGAAACGTTTCTCCCACCGAAAACATCCAGATGAACAGAATCCTGCAGAAACTGCTCGAAAATCCACCTACGGAGCAAATTCCAAACCACCGATCCCTTCCACATGTCAACCCAGATCAACCCAGGTGTGAAACCCCAGGTGAACATCAAGAAAACACTGGACTAACCTGGAGAGCATTGCTCCAAAAACCAGACAAAACTAGTTTCCAGGCAGGAGGGAAACTGGAATGAGAGTTTTGACACCAAAGTACAACTTCTGGCTTTCGATAAGAAGAAAGAAAATGCTGCATTCAACCATAAGAGCGTCATTAAATCAGTGAAGCATGGTGGTCAATCAATCATCATCAATGAAACGATGAATTCTGACTTAGAATTAGCAGAAAATATCAGGAGACCTGTCTGTGAACTGAACCGTGCAGCAACACAAGAACCATCATCACATCCTACAAAGAAGAAGAAGTCCTGACTCAGAGCCCCTCCCTGACAGAGCTGAGGATGCCTGTACCTGGGAATGGAGTCAAATCCCTCAACAGCTGCCTGAAAAGGTCGTTTGTAGTTTTTGATACACGAGGTGGCTCACAGCAAATATCCAAAGCAAAGGTCCACATACCTGTAACCCTCTGGAGTATTAAAAAGTACAAATCTAACATTTTAATGTAATTTCCTGTACATCTCTTTGAGTCTCCTTGACCTCCATCCACCAGGCTGCCACAGAACATCTTAGGGGTAGTTTGCATGTGAGCGACACGCTAAACAAGCACCGGCTCAGAAACTAGAAGATGCCACCTTCCAAATCTAGTCTCTTACACGAGTTCGGTCTTTTGTTGCAAGTCTGCATATGAGCACAAATATCATGTAAGTGAGTAGACGTGAACCAAACTGTACCTCTAACCCTAAAGAGGTCACTGTTGACCTGGTGGATGTTCAGAGGTTCAGGACCGTGATGTTTTAGGTCATGTTTATGCAGAAATACAGAAGATTTGTTGTTTCAATGTCCGTCAATCCATTTATCCCAGTTTGATCTCAGCGTGTCTGACCTTCATGTCGTCCAATGCCACGCGGTCTCCCAGCTTCAGCCCCAGAGCGGCCAGCATCAGGTTTCCTGGGATGTTGTCGTAGTTGGGCAGCGTGGCTCTGGGAAGATTGCAGCTCAGTGGAACGGCGTCCAGTAGCAGCTGCTTCAGCTCTTTGGCCACCATTGCCGCCTCCGCCTTGTCCAGGCTCATGTCCATTGGGTCGGGAACCACCTCTGCTGGAACCTGACCCTTATCGTTCTGCAGAAACAAGTCAGAAAGTCAGATTTGAGACGATAAATCACCATTAAGGGTCTCTGGATTTCAGCTTTAAAGGAACAGCAGCACAAAAAACTCAAGGAGCTGAAGCAGTCTTATTATCCTTATCCTCCACCTGCAGTTCAGACCTTCACAGACTGGATCAGCCAATCAGAGGAGAGCTCGGCAGAAGCTAAAAAGGCTTGTTACAGAATTAAAAAGAACTGAGGGTCTGCACCAAGGACTGGGACAAGGTAAAGAAGGATTACTTTGAACTGAAAATTATGCAAAGCTACGTTAATTCATGAATTAAAAACAAACAAACATGGAGCTGGAGATGAGCCCATTTAATTAGCCCCCAGTAGTAAGTAAGGAAAGCTGTCCTTACCCGGACGGTGGGGTTGGCTCCGTGCTCCAGCAGACATTTGACTGCACCCAGGCAGAGGTTGGAGGCGGCGATGTGGAGAGCCGTACCATAGTGGAAATCGCTGCATGTGGAGTTCAGGACTGAGGAGAACACGGAAGGAGAGTCTCACCTCCTGTTACCTTCAGAACGACCACTAAAATACTGCCTGGTGTAGAAATTACCTCTGGGTTTGGCTGCTTTGAGCAGGACTCGGATCAGCTCCGGGACGTCGAAGTACGCGGCATAGTGCAGGGCGTTCATGTTGGTCCAGCGGCTCCTCAGACTCACGTCGGCGCCCAGCGAGATCAGCTGAGTGGTGAGACGCAGCGCTGCCGCCGGGTCGCCTGCACACACAATGAGGACGAAACTAAGACGCGGAGGAGCTGAATCCACCACACGCACAGACGCCGGCCGCCCCAGAGCAGGTCCAAGCAGCTGCCCTGTACAATAACTTGGAACCACGTGAGAGCTCGAGTCGGCATTATTCCCAGTTGTTACATCAGGACGAACTAGAGGAACGTGGGACCTGAAACAAGGATCGCCCCTCTGCTCTTCCTCCTGAAGCAAAATCTCTTCTGAATCGAGGGTGGAAGGATTTGAGACTTTGGACTGAAGTTGGTTTGGTGTGTTGTTGGGATTTTTTTGTTTCATGTGATTTGTGATTATTAGAATTCAACCCCCTGAGGGCCAAGTTTTCACAGGTAATAACACAAACTCTTCACAGAAGGTTTATGGGAAAAATATGTAAATAGTTTTATTATTTTCTCGTGGGTGGAGTCAGAGTCATCAGCAGTAACGTCGAGTTAGACCCAGGATGGTAAAGTTGAAGATTTGTGATATTCTGGGCTGATATCAGCGTTTAGAGTCATTTGTCAGATATTTATTCTGGGATGATTAACAGAGACGCACTGACTCCAGTTTTCCAAATGTGTCCTGCTGACTTAGATGATGTCTCTAAGAACCTGACAGCCTTACAAGCAAAAAGCAGCTTTTCTTCATAATTAAAGAACCTTTTTGAACATGAACTGTGGTGAGTTTCTCTCACTTAAACTACTGAACTAATGAAAGTGCTGAAAGTGAAGTGAAATGAGCTGCTGCCGGATACCCGACCTCACCCGACGTCACCGAGCCAGCAACTTTTTTTCTGTTTTTCACTCGTCTCTGTAGTTTTGCTCGTAGCCGCCTTGATCCTTTGCTCATACCGAGGCTGCTAGCTTGCGGCTGAGGTTTGGATAACTTTGTTAACTGGCTGAGGGTGAATTACGAGGTCTATTGTCTCCATCACTCACAGCGAAGAGCTCGCTAACAGCCACAGCCTCACACTAACGACCTGCCTGTGAGTCTGCAACTGAGTATTTGAACACATCGCTGTGTGTATGCTGCATATGAAACAGGCTAATTAAGTCAGGAACTGTCTGATCCTGGTCTCTGGTCGGTCGGTCGGTGCACCTCTAGACCGATGCTTCCCTAATAAGTATCAAATAAAGTAACTTACCAACTCCGTGCGCTCCGGCCTTGCAGCTGTAGTGAAGCAGCGTCATGTCGGTCAAACCATCGCGGTCGTTCACATGGCAACCACGCTTCAGGAGCTGAGACGGAGGAAAGACAGTTACAGGTAACCTGACCAGAGATTTCACATCAAAACTTTACAAACTGATATCTGCACGTGCAGGCTTCTGGAACTTTCCCTTTCTGTTTAGAGCCACTTGTACTCTGGGTTTTTTAATCGTGCCAGAGCATGTTCTGGTTTTCACACAGCAGTTATTGATATCAGGCTTTCAGTTTTCTGGATTTTTAGGCGTCACTTTCCTGTCACACTAAACAAAAACGTTAAATAAAGCCAGGAGGGGCAGATAGCTGAGGATACATTTATAATATTTTATTTAACATCTGTATATCGCTCCTACATGTGATGTTATGGTTGTATAATAAACTTTAAAGTGGGAAAACCCTGAGTTCACATCCTGGCCGTGCTGGCTGCCAGCCTTCCAGCTCGTTGGCTGATTTCTTCTCCGCGATCGTCGCTGTGCCGCTCTCTCCTTGTTTTTCTTTCCTCCAGGCTGAGTCGGCTTCACGCTGAGTCACGGTGAAGCCTCACTGACTTTCCATCGCTCCCTCTCCCTCTGCACCACTTGCTCTGCCTCCTGTTTCCATGCAGCCATTTTAACTGGGTCATTATCACCATCTCTCTGTGAGCAGCGCTGCTGCCAGTGTGACCATTACAGAAGGTCTGTACAGATATGCCCCCTTCATAAACCTTTCCCCTCCCTAAGGGATGGATTTCTTTAAATAATTGTTTAGGTTACGGTGAGCGGATGGGCCTGATGATGCACATGGATGCTGCTGCTTTAGGTTTGCTTTGGAGCATTTTCAGTGCAGTGATCTGACAAACAGCATGTCCAGCTGTGGGGCCCGCGCATCCAATCTTCTCTAGGATGTTATTTGCATGTTGCTTAGCAACAATTACATGGTATCTGTGCCTTGGTCACCATGGTTGCTAAAAACTTGGCACAGCAGCTTCTTCTCACTTTTGACTAAAAATAAAGTAACGGCAGCAACAACCTTTGAGACGCTGCTGGTGATGCAATCAAAGTGCACATACAGGTGTCTGATGCAGAGAGCACTTTATCACATGGAAGAGCCTCCATATTGTTATCTGGTATCCAGTCCAAATCAATCATCAATAATAAATAATCTTCCCAGCCTGTATTTTTTAATTGCATTGACCATAATTTGTGCTTTGAACAGAAGCTTTCAGCATTCAGGCTTTAAGAGCCTGACAAGAGCTGCTCAGAGAGACATCACTGTGTGTGTGTGTGTGTGTGTGTGTGTGTGTGTGTGTGTGTGTGTGTGTGTGTGTGTGTGTGTCCGTGTGTCCAGAGGGTTGAATCTGGGTCAATGTGACAATGAATCAGTGTTGGCTTTAAGCCAGTGACACAGAGGACTGCAGCAGGCTGAAAGAGAAGCTGCTGCACTGCCGAGGTTTCAAAAACGGAGACATGAGCCCCAAAGTTTAAGCCTAATGGACAAGTTATTAAAAAATTAACTATGAATGTATGAATCAGGAAATTATGTGTAGAAAGCAGCAAGTTTTTATGCATCAGACTGTAAACGTGTTTATTTCTGCTGTAAAGTTTGAACAGGGGAGTCTGTGGGGACGGACTCACTGCTGGAGCCTCTAGTGGACGTTAGAGGAACTGCAGGTTTTCCAGTGTTTTTTTTTCTTTTTGCTTTTATGTTCTCACCTCATTGCCGATGATGTCAATCTTGTGCTGCACCTGGGGAACCCACTGTCGCACGATGGCGAACAGCTCAGGGACCGTGGTTTGGGGATTCATGAGGATCTCCAAGCAGGCCGGGTCATTTGGGTCGAAGAAGGTGAACGCTGCACGCAAACAGGAAGAAATCACAGATGAGCTTAAAGAGACAAAGAAAGGTAAACGGAAAGGAGCGAGGAAAGCAGGCAGGAGATGGTTCCAGACGGTGACACCAAGAAGAATCTGTCCCCGTCATCAAATCAGAAATAACCTGCGAGTGCTGCAGTTTCTCTTCCTGCAGGCTCTGCAGCTCTGAGGAGGGTTTTATTTCACTGCCATCAGCCTGACAACCTGCCCCACTGCGACTCACTGTCAGCAGCTCCGGGAGAGCCATTCCACTTCCTGCTAATAACAATGAAGGAAATCAGCTGCATATTCATCTTGAGGCACAGCAGGGGGCGCTCATGAGCTTGTCCTCAATAGCCCCTTTTCCATTAGTACCTACTCGATCGACTCAGCACGATTCGCTACAGTTTTCAGGGTTTTCCATTAAGTCATAGTACCTGCTCACTCGGGGTTCCGAGCGATCCGAGCAGGTACTAAAATGTGACATCGTCAGACTTCATCCCACCAACTGGCTGGTCAGTAGCGTCACTCGATTGTTTACGAAAATCCAAACCACCATTTTTGAAGCTTGACTACGAGGGAAACGGCTACAAAAACGACGCCGTGATCCAGAGTGTGAGAAAAGCCACAGACTGAGCAGCAGGTATATCATCACCTCGACGTCCACCTTTGTTGTGGCAGTCATGTCATGACATGCAGATATGTTGCTATGACGACAAGCACGCACACTGGGTTGTAATGGAAAATCAGTGGATCCGAGTAGGTACTAATGGAGAAGGTCTTATGAATGGGACTGAAATAAAATACCACCAATGTGTAACTTTATCTATAAAATGCATTCTGCTAATGCAAGCTGATTGGTCACTAAAGGACGTCCTCCCTCAATGGCGCCCATTCCCAAAAGATAACCGGACGTTAGAAGTTAAAGAAGAAGAAGCAGCTGGTTGCGGTGGTTGAAGGTGATGCAGCTACACAGTCTCTGCTGCTGTTTGCTTCACGCCCCAAATCAAAATGGCAGCTGCCATTAAGCAGCTTGTGGTGCTGTAACATCAGTAATACTCAGATACAACAGAAACCTGTGAGAAACATCTAAAAATTAAAGTGAAGCTGTTGTTGGGACCAAACATTTACCTCACATTTATATTTTTGCTCTACAGCTCCACAGAGCGCCCCCTAGGGAGCAGGAAGTGCACAGAGTAGGAGTTAATGCTGAAAGAGTAAAAGTCAGCTTGAGAGCGCCCTCTGCTGTGCTGCTCCGTGAACTGCGGTGATTTGCTTACTGAACAGTGATTGGCTGTCATCAATACAACAGGCCGATCAGTCAGACTGCGAGTGCTGACAGTGAGCTGTGACTCCAGCAGTCTCCACTTTAACAGTGTGACTGGCAGCATTTAAGGTGTCTGAATTTAAGGTGGTATGACGTACCGTAGTCTTTGGGCAGCGGTGCCTGGGCGGACGGGTGCACCATGGCTCGGCGCCGCGGCTCGTGAACCGGACTCTGGTACTCGGACACAGACACGGGCTCTGGCTCCGGTTCGGCCGGAGCCTCCTCCTCTTCCTCGCGCTCCTCTCTCTCCTCCCGCTCCTCCTCCTGCTGCTCTTCTTCCTCATCCTCCTCCACTTCTGTCCTCTCCTCCTGCTCCCTCTCTTCCTCTAGCTCATACTCCTCCTCTTCCTCTTCTTCCTCCTCCTCTACTTCTTCCTCCTCTTCTTCAGTCAGCGCCTCCTCCTCCTCTCTCTGGACCCTCCCCTCCTCCTGCTCCTCCCGGTCGTGCCTCTCCTTCTCCTGCACCTCCAGGTTCTCCTCTTTTGTCATGATGAGGGATTCTGCAGCAGGGCCTGTCAGAGAGGACGCAGTAACAGATTTTCATGAGACTTTCTATTATTTTGTCCTTTAAACAACATTTTGCTCACATTTTATTCAGGAATTCTCAGCGTTTGTGCTCCTCAAACACTAATGAGAATACAAGCAGAGGTTGAAACAGGAAGCTGGATGTTGGAGAGCACAAACTGTCAGTGAGTAGTAAATACTAATAACTAAGGACATCCCTGATTCAGGGAGCCTTACGTCCTCGGTCAGGACACCATCCAGTCTGACTGACCTTCATGAAGAACCAGGTTTCACAGCCTTTCTTGATGTTTTACTCCATCAGACTGCTGGGCCTTCACACTTTTTGACTGACTGTACAAGTCTGATCAGAGAAGACAGGTGTGTGCTAACAGCCACGGCTGGCGTGCCCTCACCCCGTCTTTGTAACTGACACTGAGTCTTTAAAAGGAGCTGCTTCCTTTGCTTTCCTGCGGACTGAGGTTCTGTTTCTGTCACATTGTCTCGTGTGACCTGAAAGACTTCTAGCTGCAATGACTGCCCCTCTTGTTTGGTTTAATATTCGCATTTTGTGAAACAGAATCAACCACAAGAAGTCCAAAACTGCGACACGGGTGAGACTGCTGCAGATAATAAGCATGATATGAACCAGAACACAGGACATCGCGATACAGACCTCGTCATAAGAAGCACGACATCATCGAAACCAGAGCCACAAAACACGGGACACAGATCAAAGCAGGAAATCCAAACTTCCCCCAGAAACAAATGAAACAGAAAAGCTGAAAACAACTCGGAAAACATTCAGCTGCTACGTCACATAGAAGCTCATTTTCTTTGCTCCAAAAAGACAGAAAATCTTTACCTTTCAGATGTTTGATTGAATCTAAGGTGAGGTTACTGTTTCAGACTAAATCTGCTCCGTGTGATGTTTCAAATGTTCTGTGCACAAACACTCATAATAAAGCTTTATTGGCAGCACATAAAGACAATGACCGTCTGCATCTTAACATCACACCTGAATCCAAACGGTTAGAATTCTATTACTGTGCTGTTACATGAAACTAACATTACTCAGATAAACCTACTGCTAATACTGGGCTCGAGCTTAGTTATTACTTGGTATTTACTCAATAATTACATTTTGTAATTACATAATTATTCCACTAGCACCACATTATGTTTCTGAGCTGTGCTGTGACGCGCTTCAAACAGCTTTACTTTAGGTTTCTGCTGCAGAATGACTTTAAATAAACAGATTCAATCAGTGACGCAGTTTGTTGCCAGTAACACAACATTTCAGCAGTTTGTTGTGCTGTACTCGGGCCGCTCCCGGCCCGAACCACCGCACGGCTCCGCCACGAGGGCGTGGCCGGGATGCAGCTGAGACCGGCCGAGGTTTGTTTTCCTTCAGCGTCTTGTTGTCTCTGTTTCCATTCAGCATCACAACACGAGTGCTAAGTATAACTCCAGAGAGAGGGTGTGTGTGTGAGTGTGTGAGAGAGAGGAAAGAGCTGAAAGCAGGCTAATTGACCCACTGCACAGTGGCTTAGAGGGCTAACGCTAACCCTTGCTGCCCATCATTAGCTGTTGACTGGATTAAATCCACTTTAGCAAATGGACACGATGCTGAAATCCATCCGACTGCATCCATCACTGAGTCAGCATCATGCAGAGTGTGCTGGTTTAGGTTTAGGCTGCTTTCAAACGCTAAAGGCAGCGTTTTCTTTATTTCTTCACGTTATTTATCAAATGTCTGTGCGACGCAGCCGTGCAGTCTATGCACGCCATGGATCTCATGTATCTGCAGAATCTTCCAGAACAGGCCTGAACGTGTCACTGTGGGCTGTTTACACGTGAAAATGACCTGAAAAGCATGAGCAGGATAAACACTTCCCTCTGTGCACCATTTAGTGGGTTTGACTTCTCTGATTAAGCTCATTATCAGTGCTTTATGTAATCTGAGATCCCAGCGGGACACAACGACAACAGGACTCAGCTGAGGCCACGATCGAGGTTACGCAACACGACCCTACGAGTCAGCGTGGACACACACACACACACACACACAGGTGAAGTGCATAAGCATCCCGATGAATCTCCTAAAAATAAGCTCAGCTGCTGCTCTCTGCTGTGTTAACGAGGTTCCTGCTTTCAGACGCCTCGCTTCCAGGTCAAATGATCCGGGCTGATTTAGGACCAGTGAAGGCGACACGCACATACATGTTACATGTATTCACTTCATGTTTATGGCACATGTACTAAACACAACTTCATGTAGATTTACTGAAACAAAAATAAAGAAATGAGAGATTCCTGATGAAAGCCTGAGCAGCACCAAAGTTACAGCCACGCTCAGCATTCTGAGAACAGAGATCATCTGTGTTAATAAACATGAGTTTGGATTATATTCCAGATTATTGTTGACTGGACGACGACACCGAGAAACAAAAAGCGTTTCTGTCCCTACAGGTACAAACTGCAGCACGTCGCCTCTAAGGAGGCGCTTTTGACCTTTTGTAAGGCCACTGTGCTACATCCATGTTCTCAAACAGGAACAAACGCGTTCACAGTCACAGGCTCTTCTGGGTTTTTCTATGTGCACCATCAGGAGAAAGTCAGTGTTCAGACACGTAAGACGTATTTCCCAAAATCTCCACGATGTCCAAGATGTTCCCGTTTTAAAGATAACCACGTTGTCCCGTGTTCAAAACGTTCCTTCATTAGCAAAACAAACACATTCAGCAGTTTCCTTATGCCCCAAACATCCCAGCAAAGCCTTTCCCAGTAATAATTTTATCATCAATATACTCCAGGGGATTTTTTATATGACCCCGAAAAAGCTCATTTTAAGGAATAGCTAACAAACTGCCCCCCCCCCAATAATATTCCTGCTTTCTAAAAATTCAAACTTTCCAGTAAATTTCTAAAATCTCCAGATGTTCCATAATGTTCCGACTTTCCTAAGACCTTCCAGCGAGCCTTGAATCTGCCCACGTGAAAGTATTTTGTCTTCTCGTGGAAGCAACTTTTCCTTTTTCCTGCAACACAGTGTCGAAGAATACTGCTACTTTCCAAAACGAACATTTCCCCCAATTTTCCTCGTGAACAAAAATATTTTCATTTCCACAAATCGACCGGCTCAGTTCACACACTGGAGCAACATCGACCTCTTACTGGGAATACTGGGAAAGCTCTGTTACCACCAACAAACAGCTCCTTTTACAGATTACATGGCAAGCTGCGCACTATTTAAAATATCCATACTTTCCAACATATTATGGATAAATCTCCTCATGCATATTCAAAGATGTCCGTGTTTTCTTAGATCGGCCCACTCAGCTCGCAGACTGGAGAAGGATCGATCTCTTACTGGGACTACTGGGAACGCTCCGCTCTACCCAGCAAAGAGCTCGTTTTACAGATTGACCGACACGCAGACCTGAGCGCTTATAACGCGACAGCTGCGCGATATTTGTGTGGGTTTGTGGTGGTTAGAAGCTGTTAGACGCCACGTGATGTGGGAGGCGGAGGAAGGAAAGGAGGAGAGGAAGGAGGCCATGGCAGCTTCAGCATCCTCCTCCTCCTCCACCCAGCCTCCATTTTACATCAAACCAAACATGAAGACAAAATCGCTGCAAACCGAGTCAGAACATGCCCGAACCCACGGTCTCCTCCCCACGCAGCGTGTTTCTGACGCTGAGTGATGAAAATGTTGGGATTCGGGCTCGGTGCGCGTTTGTGGCGATGTGCGCAGTGAAGGCCAGGACGGGAAAAACGCCCCTGTGACACAATGAAAACATCGGCAGGCTGCTTAAAGCCCACCGGAGCCACTTTAAAGAGATTTGAAGCTGCTGCTGCTGTTTTCTCCATCCTTCCTCCGCAGCATCGTCATCCTCACTAAAGCACCTGCTCTGCCTCCATCGTCTCGTCGCCTCCAAACCCCGTAAATGAAGCTCAGCTCGGACTCAAATCTGCGCTTTGACGTGTTTTACTTACCTGAGAACAAGCCGCTGGTTGATGAGTGGGTGACGAGCTTCTCTCTTGTCTGATGGCAGCTCCGCAGCACTCACCTCTGTGACGCTGCGCTCCTTCCGCCGCTGTATATAGTCCTCCCTCTCTCTCCGCCCAGACGGTTCTGGCTGTTTCCGTCTGCGTCGCTCCACCGCCTCTCTCGCTCACCTCTCCGCCGCTCAGCCATAAAAACACTTTCAGAGAAGAAATGACTTTTTTAATGGGATCAGCTGAATAATTATTCCTTCATTTAGGAATAAGACGCCTTTATATACACAGACACTCTCCATTAGATACACATATTCAGCTGCTTGTTAATACAATCATATGATAGAAACCCAGCGCAGTTAATCATGTAGACATGGTCAGGACAACTCGCTGAAGTTCAAAGTGAACATTGGAATGACGAAGATTTAAGACTTCTTTGCCCCCAGACGTTCATGTGAGTGTTTCAAAAACTGCTATTGATCGGCTGGGATTTTCCACACAGCCACAGAAAATCTATTTTACAGAAAATGGTCTGAAAAGGAGCTAATATCCCGCGAGCAGCAGTTCTCTAGGAGAAAGGGAGAATTGCTTCAAGCTTATAATTAAGCCACCAGTAACTTAAATAACTACTTGTTACAACTGAGGTATGCAGAAGAGCATCCATATGATCCACAGCAGGTGTCAACTAAGAAAACCAACACTACAACTGAACCAACATTGGATGTTGGACGGTGGGTCAGAATTTGCCTTAAACGTCATGAAAACTTGGATGCATCCTACATTGCATCTTATGTACATGCTGTTGGTTTTGGCCTCTCAGCACCAACTGAGCATCATTCAGACTCAACAGCCTAACTGAGTGTTGTTGCTGACCATGTCCATCCCTTCATGACCAGTGTACCATATTCAGATGGCTGCAGGATACACAATCATACAGAGTACAACATACAGTGAAATGTTTTCTGTCCAGGCTGCGGACATAGCTGCGCCATTCCAGGGCTTGGTTTTTCACATGGGGGGTCTAGCCAGGACCCTTACTGGATATTGGCTGGGGAATCAAACTTTCGCTCCAAAGGTGTGTAGTCTTACCACTACACTATCGAGCTGGTAGAATAGAGTTCAATAGAGCACCTTTGGAATGATGGAATGGGAGAATCACATTGTGCACATTTGTGCCACTGCCAAATCTGAAGCAGTTGTGTGATGCTATCACATCAGCATGGACCAAAATCTCAGAGCAATGTTGAATGTGGGCTGTGAAGAGCTAACGCAGCTATGAAGGAAAAAGTGAGTCCAACCCAGTACTAAAAAGATGTACCTAATAAAGCAGGGGTGGGGAACTCCAGGCCTCGAGGGCCTGTGTCCTGCAGGTTTTAGATATCACCAAGAATCACATGATTAGTTCATTCCCAGGCCTCTGGAGAACTTCAAGACATGTTGAGGAGGTCATTTAGCCATTTAAATCAGCTGTGATGGATCACAGACACATCTAAAACCTGCAGGATCCCGGTCCTCGAGGCCTGAAGTTGCCTACCCCTGTAATAAAGTGACTGGTGAGTGTACAGGGATATTTTTTTAATGAATCTGTTAGACCCTGATGAGGAAAGCAGAAGAGAATGGATGGATGGATAGATCTATTGGTGTTTATCATTCATGTACAGTTTCCTTTGTATATGACAGATATTCAAAGTGTTCTTAAGCCATTATGACTTTCGCTCCCCCCCATCCATTCGATTGTTTTCATTATCATCTTGAGCTTTACATTTCTGCCTCAAACAGCAAATCTTGCTACTGTGGGTCTGTTATCCATGGTTTAATGCAAAACATGCCACTGCAGTGATTAGAAGTGGAAAATTACATTGAATCAAAGCCTACAATCACAATCAGAATTATTATGTACTGTACATTAAAAGCATACATATATTTTACACAACTTTGCACCACCCACACATTAATAGTCCTAACTGTGTAAAACAAAAAAAAGGAAAAAAAATATAAAAGTTGTGGGAGAAGCAAACTGACAAATCCATGTCTATGATTAAATATAGTGGCACCTAGAAATAAATGAGGGGTCTCATAAATGACTTAAAGGGTTAAAACATGTCCACGCTTTACTAAATGCACCAATACTCCAAAAATGACTGCACAATCCAAAGTTTTACTTAATGCCCTCACAGATGTTCACCTTTTTAAAATGAAATCCTATTTAAAGGAAAGAAAATCCAATACTTTTCCAAATTATCCACAAATGTTTTTAATTAAAAAACAAAACACAAAAAACAATTGTAATTTTCAAAATGACAAACGTTTGTCTCAATGTTTCCTTTTTTCATTAATTAAAAATGTAAATGGCACCAAATGAGGATGTGGTGCTAATATTGCTGCTTTACCAGGTGTAACAATTAAGTTTAACATCCAGGCATCCATGAAAACAGGATTTATTACATTTAACAGAGTTAGAAATTAGCAGGAAGTTAGCTCGCTAGTTTCCACCTAAATATGATATAGCATGTTCTGACTGAGAGATTACGGAAACAAATTCAAACGTACAGCTCTGCTATCACTTCCAACATAAAGACAGAAAACTAAACAGCAGTGACGTTTGTAGGGTTACTGAAGTTGGGCTAGCTGCTATATAATGATGTGCTACGTGATCGCTAGCTACACAGCTATGTTAGCATAACATAAACACAGTGAAGCTGGAGGATGAAGCTAACTTTTTTCTACTCGATAAAAGTTAACGTGAGGGTTCCCGATGGTTAGAGACAAATGCAGTCGCATGGCAGGATGCTGTAAACGGACCAAACTTCAGCCAGGAGAACAACTGAGATAATCCATCCACAATACGAGGTTAGTCATTCATATACTGCAACAAGATGGGAATAGAACAGCTGCCTGAGAATTCAACATTAATGAATCAATGGTACAGAAGTGGAGGAAGCAAGAAGAATGATTTGACTTTTTTTGGACAACAGATGGAAATTAGCCTTTGGCTATAATCTGGTATGTTTGCATTCATGTAATTTCTTTTTTTTTTCATTAACATGCACTGTCCCAAGTAAATTTATAAATAAAGAGTAAAGTTTGACTTATTTGACCGTTTTGTTTCGCTTAATGCACCTTATAATCCGGTGCACCTTATGGTCCGAAAATACTCATGCAAAGCTAGTATAGTGGAGTCCAAGTATAAAAATATGGAACTGGATATGAGCAGACTAGATCCTCCTTTAAACCTAAAAATGTGCCAACAATCTTATTTTGTTGCTTTTACTTAGCCAAGACTCTTGCATGGCTGGTAGTGTTTACATGGCATAATTTACTGGAAATTCTGCTCCCTTTTACCTTAACATATGTACAAAGTTCAATCAATAGATAGATTAAACTACAGTTGTCATAAACAGTTGGTTACTCCCATTCCTGCAGGTCACACAAAGCTGCTGAGCACTTGTGCATTTCAACTGTAAACCAGAACCAAAGTGCAGGGTAGAGGGGCTCAGTGAACTTGCAGTGAAAGGTGTGGAGGTGGATCCGAGTGTCAGTGGAGACATCAAAGAAGGACAGAATGCCAGCTGGCCAGTCCATGTACACTCCAATTCTAAAGCAAGAGCCTTTATTGCTGGGGCGAAATGGTATCTCTTTTTGACTATAATTGTGCCACACGGAGTAATTATCCCTATGGCAGAGTAGTATCCAGGACCTCTCATTTCCCCCAAGCCAGTAGGATTTATCCTCACCTTTCCTCTGGATGCCCTTGTAAGTCACACCTATGGAAACAATCCCTCTCCACTTTACCTCCCAGTAACAACGTCCAGTGAGACCTTCTGTACATAGTGCCTGTTCCCAGTTATAAAATATATCTGGAGTGAAAGGCAGGAATTCCCATCGTGACTGTAAAACTGGCTGTTTTGACCCCAACACAGTCTTCTTGTCTGGCTTCAGAGCAAGGTTCTTGTGGACTGTATTATTGTCCAGTGTGAGACAGCAGGCATCTGATTGAAGAAAAGATTACAAACTGATAAAACAAGGAGCTTTAACAAAATTTAGTTAATCACACTTGCTACAAAAAGCTATTTTTCTAACTGCAGTGATTTTGAGCACAGCGAGCAGCCAACAACATAGACACTGTGGCTGATGATATAGAATCAGCCTATTTTATACAAGAAACATTTCTCTCCTTTCCCAAATGTGGGCTAATAACAGTCTTTTAAAGCCATTAGTTGTAATTAGAATGACCCAACTGCTGCATTTTGTTCTGTTTAATATCCAACTTGTTTGTTGTGAGTCTTGCAGAGGGCTGAGTTCACTAACTTAAGTTTTCAATGATTTTTATCTTGAGGATAACAACTGTAGCGCTTGCAAGCCAAATTAGCCTGATTACTAGCAGCAGGTTTAAAAAGAAAAGCTGATGCACAACATGCACAGCTCATGTTTCTCTGTATTTTGCAGGTATGGAGATATTTTTGTGTTCTGGAAATGTGAGTTTTGTTATTTGCTTGTGTGCTGTTAAATTAGCACTTGCTAATATGATTTTAGTGAATTTGAGATTAAGGGTTGAATTGTGAATTTTTGTTACATTTGTTATATTTTAAAGCACCAAAACCTTCAATCCGGGTTGTCAATTTTTTGTTTTGTTTTACTGCTTAACTTTTTATTTATTATTTTTCTCAGTTGGGTTTTTGGTGATTTTTTTTAGTGATACATTACTTTATGTTATTTATTTAGCCCTTTTGTTGACCATTGAAAGTTTGACTTGATATTTTAAATGATTACTTTTTTGCATTACATTACTGTATGTGCTCTAAAGCTATAAAATGAGAGGCACAGCACAACATTTTGGTCGGAGAGTGACGAAACCTGCAGCTTCAGAATCTGTGAGATTGTTGGCTTTCAGCACCAACGGTGTGGCTGCATACGTGCCATCAGGTGAACAAGTCATGCTTTGTGTTTGCATCGTTTTCCTTTTACCTGCTCTTTCATTGTTACCGTTCTAGCTGTTTGGTGGTTGTTGAAATCATTTTGTGAACTTTGAGCTGAGATTCTGGTGTTTCTGGCAAAATACATTTATATTTAAAAATCGATTTCTGGATTTAATGAATCGATATTCTAACTAAAATTAATTTAAATCAGGACATCGATTTTTTTAAAGGCACCCTTAGATAGAACATGATTTACTGACTACGTTCCTCTGTAATCCCATCATCATGGC